GTGTTTTATGTCACATGGCATTTCATGGATAGTGTAAATAATTAAGAATTGCTTGGAAATGGCCTTGATTACCTGGATTTCCTATATCTAAAAAAGCCACATCATTTAAAAGTCTGTAAAATACAGTGCTGCTAATTAGCCCATGTATTCCACAGGAAAGTAAACTATGAAGGCTGATACATCATCTAATGATTGAGAGTAGCCTACTATTCACACATTATGATTTATTTTTGGACCTATAATTACATAGAAATGTTGATGTGTGGAGAAAACTGTTGGGGTAAACTGTTACTGCTGCTCAGAGAGATGAAGTTTAGTGTGTTTCTCTTGATGTCCTGCAGATGTCTCCACAGCCTGCCCTGTGTTTCCCCACATCACAGCTTTTTCCCAAAAGGCTGGAGGAATTTGCTTTGCTGATAAGGTGCTACACGTAGACAAAGATAAAGTTGACAAGTTGACATAAATAGATGTAGAAATATATAAATATGGAATAAACAATTGCAAGTTATATAAGAATAATGTGGCAGATATTTACATGTACATTACTCCAGTTTGTGCAGACATTGCGATGGAAGAGGATATTGTGCACATAAATATATAAATTGACAATATAAAACAACAGTCATATAAAATTAACAACAAATATGTGCAATGTGCCAAGTTTGTGCATGATATGAAGTGAAATATTTACATGTGCAGAGTATTTTGTATTATTTGAAAGGGGGGAGTGTCAGTGGGGAGAGTCTGAAACAGTTTGTGTCCAGGGGTGGGGGGGGGGTCAGCTGCAATCTTTCCTGCTCGCTTCAGAGTCCTGGAGGCGTACAGGTCCTGAAGTGATGGAATATTGCAGCCGATCACCTCCGCAGAGCGAATGATGCGCTGCAGCCTGCCCTTGTCCCTGGCAGTGGCAGCAGCGTACCAGATGGTGATGGAGGAGGTGAGGATGGACCCAATGATGGCGGTGTGGAAGTGCACCATCATTGTCTTTGGCAGGCTGAACTCCTTCAGTTGCCGCAAGAAGTATATCCTCTGCTGGGCCTTCTTGGTGAGGGAGGTGATGTTCAGCTCCCACTTGAGGTCCTGGGAAATTATGGTGCCCAGGAAGCGGAAGGAGTCCACAGTGGCGACGGGGGAGTCTCACAGGATGATGGGGGAGGATGCAACTGGGCTCTTTCTGAAGTCCAACACCATCTCCACGGTCTTCAGAGCGTTGAGCTCCAGACTGTTGTGGCCGCACCAGGTCACCAGATGGTCGATCTCCCACCTGTAGGCGGACTCATCCTCACCAGAGATAAAGCCCAATGAGGGTGGTGTCATCCGCAAACTTCAGGAGCTTGACAGACTGGTGACTGGAGGTGCAGCTGTTGGTGTACAGGGAGAAGAGAAGAGGGGAAAGAACGCAGCCTTGAGGGGAACCTTTGCTGATGGTCCTGGAGTCAGAAACATGTTTTCCCATCTTCACATGCTTATATTACCTGTCCACATCATCGTATATATTTATTTTATGGCTATTTACAAACTATTAAACAATTACAGTAGGTAGACAGGTACATCTCAGAAAATTAGAATATTAATATTAATAATAACATTACACATAAAGTGAAATATTTTAGGCCTTTTTTTGTTTTAATCTAATCATTACAGCTTACAGCTCATGGAAATCAAAAATCCATATCTCAACATATTAGAATATCAGAATAAAGAATGTGTAATATAGAAATGTTGTTCTTCTGAAAAGTTGAACATATCTGAAAAAGGTTCATTTATGCTCTCAGTACTTGGTTGGGGCTCCTTTTACATGAATTATTGCATCAGTGCTGCATGGCATGGTGCCCTGTGGCTCTGATGAGGTGTATTGGAAGCCCAGGTTGGTTTGATAGCAGCCTTCAGCTTGTCTGTATTGTTTGTGTGGTGTCTCTCACTTTCTTCTTGACAGACCATAGATTCTCTATGGGGTTCAGGTCAGACGAGTTATAAGCATAGTAATACCATGGTCAGTAAACCAGTTACTAGGGGTTTTGGCACCGTGGGTGGGTGCCAAGTCCTGCTGGAAAAAGAAATCAGCATCTCCTTCAAACTTGTCAGCAGATGGAAGCATGAAGAAATCTAAAATCTTCTGGTAGACGGCTGCAGTGACTCTGGACAATAGAACACAGTAGACCTACACCAGCAGATGACATGGCACGCCAAATCATCCCTTACTGTGGATACTAGGATTCTGGTCCCCTCCTCTCTCAACTCTGGGACTTCTGTTTCTCCTTAGCCCAGGTTAGAAACTTCTGATGCTGTGTTTGGTTCAGGACTGGCTTGACACTAGGACTGTGACACTTGTACTGTAGCTCATTTCCTGGACACATCTGTGCTTGGTGGTGCTTGATGCACTGACTCCAGCCTCAGTTCACTCCTTGGGAACCTCCATCAGGTTCTTCAATGGGCTTTTCCTGACAATCCTCTCAAGGCTGCAGTCATCCCTGTTGCTTGTGCACCTTTTCCTACCAAACTTTAACCTTCCAGTCAATTTTCCATAAATATGCTTTGATACAGCACTCTGTGAACAGCCAGCCCTTTCAGCAATGAACCTGTGGCTTACACTCCTTGTGGAGGGGGTCAATGAGTGTCTTCTTGACTGTCAAATTAAAAGTCTTCCACTGTCTAGCACTGTCGCGTAACAGCAAGAAGGTCATGGGTTCAAACCCCAGTTGCCCCAGCCTTTCTGAGTGGAGTTTGCATGTTCTCCCCTTGTCTGCGTGGGTTCTCTCCGGGTGCTCCGGATTCCTCCCACCATCCAAAGACATGCGGACTAGGTTAATTGGTAATCCTCAATTGTCCTTAGGTGTGAGTGTGAGTGGTTGTTTATCTATGTGTGGCCCTGCGATGGACTGGCGACCTGTCCAGGGTGTACCTCGCCTTTCACCTGATGTCAGCTGGGATTGGCTCAAGCCCCCCGTGACCCTGTACACAGGATAAGCGGTTGACGATGGATGGATGAGCTGTGAGCTACAATCATCAAGATTAAAACAAAAAAAAGGGCCGAAATATTTCACTTTATATGTACTGAACAAAGAATATATGAAAGTTTCACTTTTTGAGTTAAAATACGGAAATAAATTAACTTTTCCACGATATTCAAATTTTGATGAGAGAGATGCACCTGTATATATATTTATGTACATTACCTGTCTACATTCTGTTCTGTCCATTAGCATATACATTTACTATATTTCTGCACAACCTACACTACAGTTTATTAATTTCATACTGTACACCAGTCCATCTCAGTATTCTATTTTATATTCTATTGTATTCAATTTTATTCCTATATTTTATCTTCTGCACTATTATTGTCTTTGTCTGCGATTCTCTATTTCTCATTGTATTACTTCACTGTAACCAATATACAATCGAAAAATAAAGAACTTGTCAAAATCTAATTCTGGGGCTTAAAATCAATTAAGGTTTGTGCTTAGGCCATATGTTGCATATTTCTAAATCAATATGTTTAATTAAATTACCAAACAGCAAATGTGAAGCTATATAGCTACATTGTTTCTCATCACTATACACACTTTTTGTGATTTGTTGACATTCTGTTTCCATTACTATGTAAGTCAATCGTCCGATGAAGTTTTGCATTTGTGTCCAGTGTCTTACAACCCATGACATCTGTACAATGACTTAGAACTGTGAGGTTGGACCATGAAAGTAAGAATTGGCCAGATGATGGCGCCAAAAGCCCTTGACATTTCTAATATGTGTTTGCCCAAGGGTGCTGTCCTCATGAAATGGTGTATTTCATCACCACTTTCCAACTTACACTCAGTGAAACCATTCAATGTGGGACATTTTCTGCACTGAATTAGAATAAAATATAATTAAAAGGTAATATCGCATTATACAACAGTTCTATTATTATTGTTGTCATTATTATTATTATTATTATTATTATTACACTGAACAAAATTATAAACGCAACACTTTTGTTTTTTCCCCCCATTCGTCATGAGCTGAACTCAAAGATCTAAGACTTTCTCTATGTACACAAAAAGCCTATTTCTCTCAAATACAAAATCTGTGTTGGTGAGCACTTCTCTTTTGCCGAGATAATCCATCCACCTCACAGGTGTGGCATGTCAGGATGCTGATCAGACAGTATGGGTGTTGCACAGGTGTGCCTTAGGCTGGCCACAATAAAAGGCCACTCGAAAATGTGCATTTTCACTGTATTGGGGGGTTCGGGGAGGTCCAGTCAATATCTGGTGTGACCACCATTTGCCTCACACAGTGCAACACGTCTTCTTCGCATACAGTTGATCAGGTTGTTGATTGTGGCCTGTGGAATGTTTCTAGTGGCCTTCTATTGTGGCCAGCCTAGGCACATCCATGTGCCATACCCATGCTGTCTGTCTGTCTCATGATGAATGGGGACAAAAACAAAGTGTTGCATTTATAATTTTGTTCAGTGTGTTATTATTATTATTGTTATTATTATTACCAGAATCAGAATCTTTACTACTTAACTTTACTACTACTCTACTTTATTAGTAGGTTTACGCATAGAAGGAATTTGCTTTGGTGTTTTGCTGAACAATAAACAATAAACACAGCAGTGTAGAAAAATATAAGAAAGATAAAGAAAGATTATTATTAATATTATTGTGGCTATTATTAGCCAAACCTCGCTGTCCTGTGCCTACCGAATAGGCTAGACACCGGTGTGTGTCAGTGTGTAAACCCCTCCCATCAGTGGAGGACAGCGGATGGCAGATGATGCGCACTGCGCGTCTGGCTGAAAACAGAGCGCGCGGCGCAGACAGGAGGCACAGCACAGCACACACGCTAATATCCGTGCACAGAGCCAGACGGACACATACTGTATGATTATCGCTGTTTGAAAAGGAAATGGAGTTCAAATAGGCGTACTACTTTACCTTATGGACTGAATGCAGTGACTGTCGCTTTGGATTTCTGAATCTCACGCCTAGGCAGTCTGGATAAAAAAAATGTGGAGGTACACGAACTTGTTCGCCTGTCTGCTTGTTTTATGTAAGGATGCCTCTTCACAGAGCAAGGTAAGAAATGACACAAAATAGGCAGGTTTCAGACAAGTTTTATTCACTTTATTTTCCAGGATTGCAAGGGCTATTCAGACTCACTAGTTATCAATGTTTAATCACAGCAGATGCTGCCATAACAGTATTTTAACTTCCTCTATCATTCTGCTCAACTTCACCTCTTATCTGCTTCATGTTCTGTGCCATGGTACGTCTGCTTCAGACAAATGACTGACTTGACCAATACCCAACATTTTACCCAAGCCAGACCTTTACATTTTCTGTCTTAAGCCAGCAGATGGTTCAGGTTATGTGTGATTTTGTATGATTAGCGGTAATCCTCCCAATGAAGGCTTTTGGGTGACACAGGTAACAATAACTTTATGTAATGATATGTCCAGTGAGTGCAGGCCTGATGCCAGCAGAGTGTGGGAGAGGTGGCACTCAGTGGGGTAACAGTAATATCTGGCAGCCCTTGTTTGTACAGCTGCTGGACTCCAGTAACCCCTCACTCTCCCTCAGCCTAATCCAGCTCCACACACAGTCACACGTGCACGCACACAAATGCACACACACACACACACACACACACACACACACTGCCAGAAGTTAAAAAACATGTCCCGTACACATTATATATGAAGACCACAGGCTCTGTCGCATATTTATGGCCATTTCTGGTGTGTGACTGTCAACAGAGACCAAATCAGCAGCATTGTAGGTCAGTGAAGAGTAACCCCCCCCCCTGAAGAAGAAGTAGTAGTAGTAGTAGTCGTAGTAGTAGTAGTAGTAGTAGTGGTGATAGGAAGTGGTATTCACAGTAGCAGCAGTGTTTGCAGTACTATTAATTTCAACAGTGATAGAAGGAGCATGTGGTAGTGTTAGTAATAGTAAAGGTCTTGTAGTATACTATGTGGCCAACAGTGGACCCCTCTGTGTCTGGTTTGGTCTAGGCCCCATAATTCCTATGAATGGACATCTTAATGCTACAGTTTACAATGATCCAGACAACTGTATGTTTCTAACTTTGTGCCTGCAGTTTATGTTTGGCACCTTCCTGTTTCAACATGACAATGTGCCCGTGCACAAAGCAATAAAGAAACGGCTTCCCAGTTTGGTGTGAAACAGCCTGCACAGATCCCTGACCTCAACCCCATCCAACACCTCTGGGTTGAACAGGAACGCTGACTGTGGGCCAGATGTTATCACCGAACATCAGTGTTGAACCTCACTGATGCTCTTGTGGCTGAATGGGAGTAAATCCCTGCAGCCAGGTACCAACATCCTGTGGTGGACAAAGTATTCAGATCCATTGCTTAAGTAAAAGTACAGTCCATGTATGGTTCGTTCTTTGATTATTTCGTTTTCAAAACCGAATCAAAAAAATAAAAGTTGTTTTTTTTCAAAACGGAAAAACAGATAAACAGACATCGGTTTTTGTTTTTTCTGTTTTAGAAACTAAAACGGAAAAATATTGATTTTGATATTTAATGTGTCCAATTTTTGTAGCTTTGTATGTTACACTTGATAAACCTGCAGCAGATGGCGGTGCCTGATTAAATGTAAATAAGATGAGCTTGAACATCAACATAAGTGACAATATTATATAGCTGCAGTACCAGAGGCTGAAGCAACATAGGCTAATATTGGCTCAATGTTCAGTTTGTAACTCACTAGCAACTGGAACAGGAACACTTTCCTGAGAATCCTGATTCAAAGGTCCTGGCCTTCCGTACACCCCAACCATGTTCTAACTCAGTCTTTTCTGTTGAATATCATATATCTGCCTTTACCGTCACAAACTGACGCTACAGGGCTTCCCCCACTGTGTTGACCTATGACACTATAGATCCCCAGTTCGTTACAAACGCGGAAAGGCCTTGACCATGGGTCCATATGGGACGAGTCAGGGAGTGAGAACAGGTTGTAGGGATACAACACCGTTCAAAGATAGAACAAAACACAGCTCCTTTGATTTCTGTTTTGGTTTTAAAACAGAAAAAACAAACAAACGACTTGTTTTTTTGTTTTTTCCGATTTGGTTTTGTAACGAAATAATGAAAGACCAAACGGATTAAGTACTAATACCACACTGTAAAAGTACAATGTTACAAGTAAAAGTTCTGCATTGAAAAATTTTCCTAAGTTGAAGTATGTAAATATAATAAGGAAAACGTACTTAGTATTAAAGTACTCAATGCAGTTGGTTGAGGTGGAGCTTATTTTGAACTATTTTGTATCGGACTGTAACTAATAATTATTCTCATTACGAATCCATCGGCTGATTATTTTCCCAATAATCGACTGATTGTTAAAATTCTGCAAATAGGAAAAAATCCCAATGACCCAGATCCCAAAGTGACATCTTCATAATGCTTCAACATTATTAACACTACATTCAAATGATTAATATAATTCATTTGTGAAGCTGGAACCATGATATGTTTTTGCATGAAAAATTACTTAAATAAATAGTTGCCAATTAATTTTTTTTCAACCGACTAATCGTTTCAGCTGTACTTGTCCCGTATAAACTGTTTGGGAGTTTAATTCCTTTCAAAACATCATATTTTAAAAACTCTTCATATATTGTATGTAAAAAGCGTAATTTGTAAAGTAACTACTAAAGCTGTAGTGTACTTTAGTAAATGTACTTACTAGTTACTGTCCACCACTACCAACATCTGGTGGAAAGCCTGAAACCAGAAGAGTGGAGGCTATTAGTGTAGTACATTAATGCCCATAGCTTTTAATGACATGTTTAACCATCACATATGGCTGGACTGTTCAGGTATACATACAGGATAGTTTTGCAGTGTCGTTTCAGAGTGTATGTCACTCTAGATTGTATCAATTTATAATTGTAACAAATTAGTTGTTACTTGTATGAGATTAGAGTCTCTAGTAATGTAGGAAAAGTAGTCATAGAAGCAGTAGTTTCAGTTGTATTAGTAACAGTTGAATGTGAAGACAAATAGTAGTGGTAATACTACTTTTAAATTAAAGCAGCATCAGTAGTGATAATGGTAGTAGTTGTGTTAACAATTATCATTATTATTATTTTATTGCCCAGCCCTATATAGAAGTAGTAATGGTAGTGATAGTAACTGTAGCTAATGGTGGTAATAGTAAATAGAAACAGTGGTGTTCTAGTGGTGGTTTACAGCTGTGAGTTGAAGAAAACTTGATGAAGTAAATTGTGAAAAGTGTGCAATAGTCAGTCACAAGATAGGTGCGACCTGGTGGGCTTCACGCACTGACCATGAATGGCAACATCCCCTGTCCATCTCTCATCTATCTACTATCAACTCATTAATAAAATGTATAGAATGCCCCCCCAAAAGTATTTTAAACATTAAATGAACAAATGATGAATATTAATAATGAGTTAAATAAAGTTGTCACTTTAGAATCTATTCAGGTGAAGTGCTAAAGTCAACTGAAGGTTTTACAATAAATCCACAGTTTATTTATCTTTGTCTCTACTCACAACACATTCCTCATCATGCAGCAGTGTAACAGCTCCAGTCTTGTGCCCACTGGAGATGCACAGTCATAGTCTCTGTAGCCAGACTAGTGGCAGTGGCATTAATGAGAGACAAAGCCTGCTTAGAAGCGGGCATGGAGGGCACCAGAGGGTGGCGTGGGAACCATCGTGTGCACCTGCTTCGTGTTTTGGTTGTAAACAAACCCGAGGACAATCAGTGCTAGGTCAACTGGGGGATAGAGAGAAGGAGACAGCAGACTGGGATGCTCAGTCTGCCTCTGTGAAACAGTCCAGTCAGACATAGGGTTTGATGATTAAGGTGCTATGGTGCCTTGTAGCCTACATGAAATTACATTTTGTCGTGCCATGTTATGCCAACATGACTTCATTTAATTGGGGCTGTCACATGGGGCTTGCTGAAGAGTCAACATTATCAAATCTACAGAGAGTCGAGTCTCTCTGTTTGTGGTTAAAACAAAGCTATAAGCTGTTGGAAATGAGAGGCCAATGCCTCATTCACAATAAAGCAATGACCCTGAAAAAACTTACTTTTGATGTTAGTGGGAATGGGTCAACTTTCTGACTCAGGTGCACGACCCTGCACGTGACCATTGTTTTACACACATCTGAAATTGATTGGCTTTCGTACAAAATGGTCAGCATGGGTATTAGATTTTAGACTATTCTCCTCTGTAGATTGTGGGCATGACTTCTAGCTCCCTCCCTCATGACTGTTCTTGATCCTTACATTAACTAATTGAAGTTTCACCATCATCTGCGTGGATGCCAATCCTAAAATCCAAATACAATAAGTCAACAATAGTAACAATAAAAAGGTATCATAGAGGACTCAAACCTCAGTCTCGTGCCTGAGAATCCTGAGTATGACCCATTTACTCACCATGACCTCTTCATGTCATGGACTTTGTCATTCTTTAGACTGCCATGTGCGTTCGAAGACAACTCGGATAAAGACGGTTGTCTCTTACAAACACCACGGGATTAAATGAGACAGGAATATAATTTATCAATGAGACAGGAATATAATTTAGTTGTACATATTCTGTAGATAAATGATGTAAACATGTATTTTCTATTTTATAAATGGCTGTCGAGCCTTTGCTTGTGGAGTGGACTGAATTCTGAGCAGTTGTGATGCTAAGCAATTAATATTCCATATAAGCTTAGATCCACGGCTGTTAACATCTGCACTATTATATTAAATAATTGTCATCTCTATTGACACTTTATCTTACTGACAACACTACCCACCAGAAGGTTAGTTTATTTATTTTTCGCTCAATAAAAAGTGAACAGTATCTTTCGCTGGCCACCAATAACCTCTGCAGCTTTTTAATGTCTCCCATAAACATCTGCTGTAACAAATCATCTGGGAAACAGGCATTGGCACGTCTATCATTCCACTCATAGTTGAGGTCACCAGACACACACTAATAATTAGGGAAGTGTCTCTTTGTGGTTGTGAATGGATTATTATAGTATGTGGATTTTATTAGGGAGCCATAGTGAC